CAATCTCCTGACCTCATGATCCACCCGCCTTGGCCTCCCAAAGTGCTGGGATTACAGGCATGAGCCACCATGCCTGGCCTAATTTTTGTATTTTTAGCAGAGATGGGGTGTCACCGTGTTGGCCAGGCTGGTCTTGAACTCCTGACCTCAAATGATCTGCCCACCTCAGCCTCCCAAAGTGCTGGGATTACAGGCGTGAGCCACTGTGCCCGGCCACGTTCTTGTTTTTTAATCTTGCTTTTGTACCTCCCTCCTGCAAAGCCATCCTACAAAGCATGTTGGCTAGAAGAATGGTGCGTGGAAAAACACGACCGTCTGCCTCAAACTGTCAAGGGCCTCCTTTAGGTTCCCATGGTTCCTGTGGTTTCCTTTTCCCTGCCTTTATTAGGCTACAGGCAGAATTGTTTACAGAACTGTTTCCTTCTCTGGCCGAGCCAGCCCTTCCCTGCCAGGATCCTGCCCCATGGCTGGACACCTGCAGCCATTACCTGGGAATAAATTAGAAAGGATTCAGCCAGATGCGGGGGCTTGTGCATATAATTTCAGCATTTTGCGAGGCCAAAGCAGGTGGAGTGCTTGATTACAGGAGTTCAAGATCAGCCTGGGCAACATAGTGAGACTCCCACCTCTACAAAAAATAAACAAAATTATCTGGGTTTGGTGGTGCATGCCTGTTAGTGCCAACTGCTCGGGAAGCTGAGGTGGGAGGATCGCTTGAGTCCGGGAGGTGGAGGCTGCAGTGAGCCGTGATTGTGCCAGTATACTCCAGCCTGTGAGACAAAGTGAGACCCTGTCTCGAAAAAAGAGAGAAAGGATTCAAACTCTACCTATACTGACAGCTCTCACTGGCTTGCATTCAACTTGCTTTCCTGGGAGTTAGGTGTTCTTCAGCCTAAATGATGTCACCATCTCAAAGAGGTCTTCCCTGGCTATGCTGTGTGTCCCCATCATTCCCTGTCATAGCACCAGTCACCACCTGAGGTTCTCCTTGTTTTCGTTTTTGTTTTTGTTTTGAGACAGAGTCTCACTCTGTCACCCAGACTGGAGTACAATGGCATGATCTCGGCTCACTGCAACCTCCGCCTCCCAGGCTCAAGTGATTCTCCTGTCTCAGCCTCCCAAGTAGCTGGGATTACAGGCACGCACCACGCCCAGCTAATTTTTTAATTTTTAGTAGAGATGGGGTTTCACCATGTTGACCAGGCTGGTTTCGAACTACTAACCTCAAATGATCTGACCGCCTCGGCCTCCCAAAGTGCTGGGATTACAGGCATGAGCCACCGCGCCCGGCCTGTTTTTCGTTTTTGGGTTTTTTTTTTTTTTTTCTGAGACAGAGTCTCACTTTGTCACCCAGACTGTAGTGCAGTGGTGCAACATCAGTTCACTGCAACCTCTGCCTCCCGGATTCAAGCGATTCTCCTGCCTCAGCCTCCTGAGTAGCTGGGATTACAGGCGTGTGCCACCACACCTGGGCCTAATTTTTGTATTTTTAGTAAAGATGGATTTTCACCACATGGGCCAGGCTGGTCTTGAATTCCTGACCTCAAGTGATCCACCTGCCTTGGCCTCCCAAAGTGCTGGGATTACAGGGGTGTGCCACTGTGCACAGCCTCCTTGTTGATTTGTTTGCTTGTTTACAGCTCCTGGCCCCCAACAGGTGCTCAGTAAATATGTGTTGAATCCATGCTTGACTATAAATGTGTGAACATGGTGGGGAAACCTGTTTCACACCGACGACTGCGGCTACTTCTTAGGAGGGGACTAGAGTTGAAGGAGACAGTCAAACTGGAACTTTAGATTCATTTTTAAATTTTTGATAAGAATGGTGTATTCAGGCTGGGCATGGTGGCTCATGCCTATAATCCCAGCACTTTGGGAGGTAGAGGCAGGCGCATCACTGGAAGTCAGGAGTTCGAGATCAGTCTGGCCAACATGGCAAAACTGTATCTCTACTAAAAATAAAAAAATTAGCTGGGCTTGGTTGCCTGTGCCTATAATCCCAGCTACGAGGGAGGCTGAGGCAGGAGAATCGCTTGAACCTGGGAGATGAAAGTTGCAGTGAGCCAAGATTGAGCCACTGCACTTCAGCCTGGGCGACAGAGACTTGTCTCAAAAAAAGACAGGGTCTCCCTATATTGCCCAGGCTGGTTTGGTCTTGAATTCCTGGCCTTGGCCTCCCAAAGTGTTGGGATTACAGGCATGAGCAACCGTGCCTGGCCCCATTTCTTAACTGATAGTTAAAAATAAAACAAAACAGCACTGAACTAAGGGCCCAAGTCCCTCAGTTCTAATCCTGAAATTATAGCACGGTTTTGGGCAAGTGCTCTACACACCTATCTCTGTGGCTTCTGATCTCACCTGTAAACACACAGACCCACCTTCCACCCAAACCCTGGATTTACAGTCTGTACAGCATTTTCTCATCCATCATCTCACCTCGTTACCCACAACCCTGGGACGCAGGCAAGGCAAAGATGATCATCCTCATTTTATAGGGTAGGAAATTGGGGTTCACGGGGGTGAGTTGTCTGGCCTGCGGTCACACAGCTGTAGTCGTACAGGTCCTTACTTCATAACATTGTGAGCTGACTCAGATAATGAGTTTATAAAGCCCACAAATGGCTAATGGGGGTGACCAGGCTGTGCTGTGTAAGCTATTAGTATGGCAACAGGATCAAGATCAGATCTGGAGCTGTCTTCAGGGACCTAAAGGGAGCCCTTTAGGCTCGTGAGGACAGGGCTATAATCCCTCCTGGTTTCTTTGGTTTGTTTTTTGTTTTTTAGACTGAATCTTGCTCTGTCGCCCAGGCTGGAGTGCAGGGGTGCGATCTCAGCTCACTGCAACCTCCGCCTCCCGGGTTCAAGCCATTCTCCTGCTGGGATTACAGGCGCGTGCCACCAGGCCTGGTTAATTTTTTGTATTTTTAGTAGAGACAGGGTTTCACCATGTTAGCCAGGATGGTCTCGATCTCCTGACCTCGTGATCCGCCTGCCTCGGCCTCCCAGAGTGCTGGGATTACAGTGAGCCACCACGCCCAGCCCAACTTTTTGTATTTTAGTAGAGACCGGGTTTCACCATGTTGGCCAGGCTGTTCTCAAACTCCTGACCTCAGGTGATTCACCTGCCTCGGCCTCCCAAAGTGCTGGGATTATAGGTGTGAATCATGGCACCCTCCCCTTTCCCCCCTCCCTAGGTTTTAATGAGAGTCCTGGGTGGTCTTTGAAGGCCTAGGTAGATGCTGGTGTCAGGATCCTGAACCCAAGTCCCTGATTTCATAAAAAGCACCCAGAATCCTGCTTTCCTGCTGCTGTTATCCCACAGGGGACAGGGCAGGAGTTGGCAGCCCAGGGCTGGTGAGGAGTCCAGAGGGCTAGCCAGGAACTCTGGCCATGCTCTTCCTAGGTAGCCTGAGAGTCTGTATACTGAGCCAAGATGGCAGCCCTCCAGCTGCAGGAGTGTGAGGCCAGCCCAGATTGGCAAGCTGGGGGCTCCAGGCCATGGGCCAGTATTCTGGACTGGGACTCAGTGAACTTTGAGGAGGTAGAATTCCCTAAGTCGGCCTCTTTCCTTGATAATTTACCCAGAATGGCCCAGATGACAGTCTGGGTACAAAATATTTCAGTCCATTTCATCATGTTTACCAAGTACCAGATGTCAATAGAATTTATGAGTGATAACTAAAGGGTAAGGCACTTTACATCTTAATCCTCTCAGCCACCGTGTAAAACAGGTATTATCCCCATTTTTAGGTCAGGGAAACTGAGGTCCAGGGAGGCACAAGATCACATGACTAAGGGAGTGGGGAAAGCCAGGATTGGAGTGTGGGTTGATAGGGCTCCAAAATGCCTGATCTTTCCACTTCCCTGAGTGCTCAGGGGTGATGAAGATGACTAAGACCCTGTTCCTTCCCTTGGGAGGGAGCGACATACCCACTCCGGCTAACTATTGCATGGGTCAGGGTGACATCACCACCTCTGCAGCAGATGGAGGCTGATTCATCTGTGGGAGAGTCAGGAGGGGCCTCTGCGGAAGGGTCGGCTGCCTGGAAGGGTCGGTTGGCTGGCGGGTGTCTCGAAGAGGGCAAAGATAGAGAATGAGTCTTGGGGAGGTTCCAGGGCCAGATGCGAACTGCCTGTAGGCCTCCCAGGCAGGGGCCTCCTTGGCCTAGGTCCTTCCCGTAGTAGCTCAAACCACCACCGCGCTAACCATGGCTGAGGGAACCCGGCAGGCCGCAGTGGGGAGGGGCGAGATCCCTGAGCTTACACAGGGGCTGAGGAGAGCTCAGTGAATCACCAAGGGGACACCTGGACCGACGGTGGCGGAGGGGCGCATGGGTCCCCCTGCCAAGCTGTGGGGTAGGGGATGGTGGACGTGAGAACTTCCAGCTCAGCGGTGCTTTAGGGTGGGGAGCCAGGGTGAGGGAAGCTGGTGGCCATGGTGGGGTGCTTTAGGGTCTGCAGGGGAACTGCCTCCCCAAAGTTTCAAGCTAGGGATAGAAGAGGGGATTTGCGATCCTTAGGAGCTGGAAGGAGGCCGAATGGGAGCACGAGGTGTCCCGCCTCCAAAGGGTGGAGGGCTCCTGGTGGGCGGCGCGGCGGCGGCCGCGGCAGTGAAGTCATCGTGGGGAGGGGCCCGCTTGCGGCGGGTGCGGGGGCTTCGCGGGCACCCAGTGGAGCAGTGGGGGCCCGGCACCGTCGAGGGGCGGGCGATGAGGCGCCGGCCAGTCTTGGTAGGGGTGGGCTCCGTAATGGGGGCGGAGCCGCTGCTGGGTGGGGCGCGCCTCGGGCGGGGACAGAGGCGGTGGGACGCCCGCGCCCAAGACTGGCCCACAATGAGGCGAGCGGGCAGCGCGGAGTAGGCGGCGGCCGGCCGGGCCGGGCCACGCGGCGGCGCTGCTTGGGCAGGTTGGGGCAGGGCAGCTGGGCGCCCGAGCGAGGACACCGCGGCCCCGCCTCCGCCCCGCCCCGCACCCTGCCGGTCGGCGCCCGAGCTCGGAGCCGCAGCCGCAGCCGGAAACCGGGCCCGCGCGGCGGCCGCCGTCCCGGCCGAGCCGGGGCCCCGAAGTCAGAGCCGGAGCCGGGCGGGCCGCGGGGTCATGGCGGGGCCGCGGGGCGCGCTGCTGGCCTGGTGCCGCCGACAGTGCGAGGGCTACCGCGGCGTGGAGATCCGCGACCTGAGCAGCTCCTTCCGGGACGGCCTGGCCTTCTGCGCCATCCTGCACCGGCACCGGCCCGACCTGCTGTGAGTTCGGGGCCCCGGGCGAGCGGGCGGCGCGGGGCGGGCCGGGGCCGCGACCACCGCCCCCCTCAGTGACGCGGAGCCCGGGCAGTGACAGGCGCCACCCCCGGACGCTGAGACGCCGACCCCCTCGACGAACCCAGACGCCTGGCGGGTCCCTGAGACCCCGGCCCCCGGCGCCCCTCCCCCGCCCGGCCGTCCTGACCCAGCCCCTGGGACCCCAAACCCCCCGCCGGAGGCCGGTCCCTCCGCGAGGGACACGGCCCCGCCCACAGAGCGCTGATTTCCGCCGAGGATCACTGAACCCCTAAGCCTTTGACCTCTTTGAAGGGGTGTTGAGCCCTCTTTGGGGGCCCTGGGCCTGTCCTACCCTAAACTCCTCTCCGCTGTGCCTCCCCTCTCCCCCGAGGCTTCCCACATGGGGTGGCCCCTTGCTCCGGGTGTGCAAGTGAACCCTCACTTCTCTGACCCCCCAAATAGGAGTTTGTCTCCAGACACTAGCACAGTTCCCGGCGCAGAGGAGACCTCAGTTAACAGGTGTTGGATGAACGGATGTACAGACTGTGCTTTCCTGTGCTTTCCCCACTCCTCCCCAGTTAGGACGCAGCCCTGCCTCCCGAGTGTGTGCTCCATGGCCCTGCTGCCCTCCTCAGTGGGGCACGCAGGTGGGACGCGCAAGAGGAGTCACAGGACTGGCGATGTTGGGAAGACTCCTAGGATCCGATTGACAGACACCAACCGGCTGCTGCAGGTTGTGAAATGGCCCCTTCCTGCCCAGAGCTGCCCAGTGAGGTTCTCATGGGAAAATGCGTTCAGACTCCCCAGAACAGTTGACTTGGAGCCTCTGTCTTTGCTCTCTCTGCCTTGAGCAGAGAACCTCTTCTCCTTTCGTCCATTCATTCCTAAAACACTGGGTGAGTTTTTGTGGTGCCATTCCTTGCACTTCAGGTCTCACCTGTGAATCAGGGAGGAGAGTTCTGGTCCCTACGCCTTCTGCATGCAGCGCTCTTGCCAGGGCCCCCCGGCCTGGCAGATGGAGGCTTTCTGTGCCTGTTCCTCCAGATTTGCACTGTCCAAGGGCAGCCATGTGGGAGGGCTTCTAAGGGATTGCCTCGGGATTCCATGGTGCAGGTGCACCTGGTTTACCTGTATGTACCCTGCAGTACCATGTCTGTGGGTCGTGGCTTGGGCCCTGGAGGAGAGGGTTTTGGGGCTGTGGATACAGAAGGGAACAAGATGAGGTGGCCATGTAGGTGGGTCCCTGCCCGCTGTGGGGCATGTGACACCCATACTAATGGAAGCACAAGATTGATGCCTGGTTGCCCAGGAGCAGGGGGTAGAAGGATGGAGGAAAAGGGCACTAGGGTTGGACCTGGGCATTGGAAGGGAGGGCCCAAGGGGTCTTCTATTCTGTCTGAGGGGCAAGAGTGAGGCAGGAAGCAGGGACAAACCCAGTGTGGGAGGGGACTTGGGTGTGAAGTGAAGCCATTTGGTGGGCCTGAGCCTGTCATCATCAAAGTAAAGGCCGCTTGGTTTGTGTTCAGCTTCTCCATGTCTTAGGCGCACGGCCTTGGGTCCTCATGGGCTCTCTCCAGGCATCAGTGTCCTCATCTGCGAGGTGGGACTGGTAATGTGACACAGCTCATAGAATTGTTGTGAGGATTGCATGCGATAATAAGCATTCAGTTAACATTCGTTATTGTAAGTAGTGTTATAGGCAATAGGGGAATAATGATAATTTGTAAAATTTTTTTGAGACGGAGTCTCACTCTGTCACCCAGGCTGGAGTGCAGTGGCACGATCATGGCTCACTGCAGTCCTCACCTCCTGGGCTCAAGTGATCCTCCCACCTCAACCTCCCGAGTAGCTGGGACCACAGGTACACGCCACCATGCCTGTCTAATTTTTTTGTATTTGTAGAGATGGGTTTTTGCCATGTGGCCCAGGCTGGTCTTGAACTCTTGAGCTCAAGTAATCTGCCTGCCTCAGTCTCCCAAAGTGCTGGGATTATAGACATGAGCCACCATGCCTGGCCCAATAACAATGTTTGATTTCTTCATTTATTCAACCAGTATTTGTAGAGTTATTGTTCTGTGCTGGACACTGTACCTGGTAATGGAAGTACCAGCCAACAAAACAGACAACCCTACACGCTCTCCCACACCTGTACGGGAAACATGTATAAACGATGATGGCAATTCCAGGTACCCTATCAGAGGGCTAGGGGTGGGAGACCTCCTAGGGAGAATATAGTCTTCAAGGAGATGGCAGGAGCCAGGTGAGGGCCGCCAGGTGGGCGTTCTGGCAGAGGACCCCGTCTGAGTAAAGGCGAGGGGCGGGAGGTATGTGCAGAGCTGGAGGCCGTGTAGCTGAGTGGGGAGCACAAGGCAGCGAGTTGGGAGATGCAGTTGGGACAGATGGCTGACAGCTGCTTTTGCTGGCTAAGAAGCGTGGATAGGGGCCTCAGGGAACCTTGCGGGTTTGTTTTTGTTTTTGTTTTTGTTTTTTTTGAGATGGAGGCCTGTCACCCAGGCTGGAGTGCAATGAATGGTATGATCTCAGCTCACCGCTACCTCCGCCTCCCGGGTTCAAGCAATTCTCCTGCCTCCGCCTCCCAAGTAGCTGGGATTACAGGCACATACCACCATGCCCGGCTAATTTTTGTAGTTTTTAGTAGAGATGGGGTTTCACCATGTTGGCCGAGCTCATCTGGAACTCCTGACCTCAGGTGATCCACCTGCCTCGGCCTCCCAAAGTGCTGTGATTACAGGCGTGAGCCACCAAGCCTGGCCGAGCCACATAAGTTTTAAGCAAGGGAGGGATGTGGCTGGAAAAATTGTGCAGGGGAGGGCGGCTCCCCTTCTGAATCCAGAATCATGTCCAGGCATTCATTTGCAATGCTGTCAGCCCATTGCACAGGAAAAACGCTGAGGCCCAGGTCCCACATAATGTGTAGGGAAGGCCTCAGTCGTGGGTTGGGAGGATCTCCGTGAGAGTAGGGGTGAGGGCCTAGGGTGAGGGCGAGAATCATCTCTTAAAGTGGTTCAGGCTTCTGGGGTCGTGGGCCCTGCCTGGGTGAACCCAGTGTTGGCCCAGGGCTCTGCTGGGACGAGGGTTGTGGGGGCTGGGCCATCCCTCCGCACCACCCGAAATCCAGACATGTTTAAGCTCCTTTGAGGGCATGGACCATGTGGGTTTCATTTCTGCGTCCTTCATTTTCCCCAGAGCCAAGTAGAACTCCGTGGGCCTCGGAGGACTCTCAGAAAATATATGTGTTACCAAAACACAGATGTTAATTAGGGACAGAGATGGGGGTGGAAGAAGTTGGAGGAAAACCTGCAGGATCCTAAAGTTTTTTTTTTACAGTTTTCACACTGTTTTCAGCATTGATTCATTCAACAAACATTTACAGAGTGTCTTCGAAATTTGGGGAACTGTGTAGGGGATTGGGGGCACAGAGTGGATAGAATGTGACCCCAGTCTTCTAGGAACACTTGTGGGGTGACTGAAATAAATGGCTGAGACAAGTTGCTTTTGTCTCATATGGTCTTGGAACAAGCCTCTGTTGGGGGCTGGGTACCATGGTGTTCCCTCACCCTGTCGCAGTGTCATGTACTGGACTGGGAGATGGAGGTTTCAAGAGGTGAAACAGCTTGCTAAGGTCGCACTCTGAGGCAGTGGCAGAAAAGGGGAGCTAGGAAGGCAGCCCAGGGGAGAAGGAAGTGGCCTGGACAGAGTGGCAAAAAGGGAGCTGGTGCCCAGACATAGTCACCTTCCCTCTCCCTGTCCACCCAGCCCTGGGGCACCAGACTCCTTCCAGGGTCCTCAAGCAACTCTTTCCTGCCCAGGGTTCACAGTCCCTGGCCCCTGCCTGGAAAAGTGTTGGGGGCAGGGGGAGGGGCTGTGCTTATCCAGCTCCCTCATATCTGCGAGGCCTGCTCTTTACCAAGCTGGGACTCCACCAGCTTGGGAGGTGGTACTAGTGCTTTCCCTGATTTGCAGATGGAACAATGAATACTGGAAGGCCTGCTGATCCCCCCAACCCATGGTCACGTGGGAGTTCAGCCCTCAGAGGCGGTGTGGCCTGCTTTTGCCTCTGCCCACCCGTCTCTGGCAGTCAGGGCTGCAGTTTTCAGCCATAGAAGGGCAAGGCTGCATGCGGGTGCACCCAGGAGGCCGACGGCGGGAAGCCTGAGCTGCCTCTGCTGGTTTCAGCGGTCTGGAGTGGGGAGGGAGGAGGGGGATAAATAAAGCCTGCAGGCCAGCCAGCTGTCCCGTGCTGGGGCCCCCAGACAGGCCCTGCCTCCTCTCACCTGTCCCAGTTTAGAAACTAGAAAATCCCTCACTGCTTCCCCAATGGAAGCTGCCCCAGGAGTGGCCCAGCGGGGCCAACCAGCTGTTCTGTGCCAGCAGCTCCAGAGTATGTAGATTTCCACTCTGGTTCAAACTTGTTCTTCTATTCGTGGCCCCATTATGAAAAACATTCATCTGCAACCTGGACTGGGTTGGGATTCAGCAAATCGGTGTGGCTTCTCCAAGTACGTGATACATCTGCAGGGGCCTGTGAGCAGCGGAAGGGCGAGGCATGTGGATTCCCAGGGCTGGTGGCTTCCTTTCTCCAGGACTCAGTATCCTTATCTGTAAAATGAGATCGATTCTTGCCAAACAGAGTTGCTATGAAAAGAAAGTAAATGAGACAGCGGAGCCCAGCACCGCGCCCTGGGTGAGGTCACATGCGGGTCTTAGTTGTGTCTTTGCCGCTGTGTCTTTGCCGCGGCCTCCAGAGGTGGCTTCCTGGAAAGAGGGAAGGGATCTAAAGCTTGAAAGCTTGGGCTTGAGCCCCGCCCCTTCTCAGTGATTTCCCAGCCTCTGCTTGGATGCCTCCAGGGTCTGTGAGCTCACGCCCTGCCCTGCCCTGGCAGCTCCAGCTCTAGCAGCAAGTGTTTGCTGCCTCAGTTTCCCCCCCAGTAATCCACAGACTCTCCCCAGCAACCCTGCTGAGGCTGAAGCTGGCCGGGACAAGGTCTTCTCTGTTCAGCTCCTTTCTGACTCTGACCCTGCCCCTATTCCCCAGTCACCTCCCCTCTTGACCAATCATCCTCCCTTTGCCTCTTGCAGAGATTTTGATTCGCTTTCCAAGGACAATGTCTTCGAGAATAACCGTTTGGTAAGTTCCTGGACAGATGGAAGCCCAAGAAGCTCTGTGTGTGTGTGTGTGTGTTTGGTGGGGAGGGCAGGGGTCTTGCAGGGTGGCTGCCCTTGTACACCGGCCCTGGCTGCACCTCTCCCCACTCCCTACTTCCCACCAACCCCCTCATGCATGGAGTACCAGGCTTCCTTTTTCTCTAGGCCGTCCTGTGGCGCTTGGGTGGGATTGATACTGAGGGGAGCCCACAGTCACCCCATCCCACCGAGGGGAGCTGAGCCTAGGCTGAGGGTCGCCCCCTAACGCTGCCTCCTCCTTGGCCTCCTCTTCCTGCTGTGGCTGCTCCCACCCTTGCACCTGTCACCGCCCCAGGCCTTTGAAGTGGCTGAGAAGGAGCTGGGGATCCCTGCTCTCCTGGACCCCAGTGACATGGTCTCCATGAGCGTCCCTGACTGCCTCAGCATCATGACCTATGTGTCCCAGTATTACAACCACTTCTCCAGTCCTGGCCAAGGTGAGAGGGGGACTCAGCCTTTCATGGAGGCTGGCCCAGGGGGTGGCCCTGGGGATGTTTGATACTTGCTACTGGTTTTCTGAGTTGCAAACAGGCTGCTGAGGAGTATATCATTCATTTACTTATTCATTCATTCATTCATGAAATATTTTTTTTTTTTTGAGACAGAGTTTTGCCCTTTTTTTGTTGAGATGGAGTCTCGCTCTGTCACCCAGGTTGGAGTGCAATGGCACAATCTCAGCTCACTGCGACCTCTGCCTCCCGGGTTTAACCTCCTGCCTCAGACTCCCGAGTAGCTGGGATTACAGGCACCCGGCACCCATGCCCATACTCATTTTTTGTGTCTTTTAGTAGAGATGTGGTTTCACCAGTGCTTGGGCCCAGGCTTGGTCTCGAACTCCTGACCCGTGATCTGCCCGCCTTGGCCTCACCCAACCGCTGGGGATTACAGTGTGAGCCACCGGCTGGTCCCTCTTTTCTTTTTCTTTTTTTTTTTTTGCTGGTGAGTTCTCGCTCTTATTGCCTGCTAGAGTCGCAGTGCGCATCTTGTCTCCCTGCCACCTCCCACCTCCGAAGTTTACTGCATCTCCTGTTCAGCCTCCTAGTAGCCCTGTGCTCCAGGCAACCGCCACTACGGCCTGGCCTACATTTTTGCGGTATTTTAGTCAGAGATGGGGGTGTTTCACCCTGTTGGCCCGCGCTGGTCTTACTGAACCTACGTGACTCAATATCCGCCTGCCTCCGCCCTCCCAATGCTATGCTCACAGGCGTGAGCCCACTGGTGCCCTGCCTGAAATATGTTCTGCATAAAAGCCCTTCCCGCCTTCTGGGTTGCAGCTGTGCATTGTACTTCATCCCCATGGGGGGAAACAGACCCAGACCCATCCACCCAGAATGAACCAATCGGGCCGGGCGCGGTGGCTCAAGCCTGTAAATCCCAGAACTTTGGGAGGCCGAGACGGGGGATCACAAGTCACAGATCGCGACCTATCCCTGGCTAACACGGTGAGAGACCCCCGTCTCTACTAAAAAATACCAACCCCTCTACCCCGCGCGCAGGTGGGCGGCGCTTCTGTAGTTCCGCTGCGGCCCGCCGCGCAGCGACGCTGGCCCGGCCTGGGACGGAGAATCTGGCATCGCGAACCCTGGGAGGCGGAGCTTGCAGTGAGCCTGAGATCCGGCCACTTGCAACTCCCTAGCGGGCGACAACGCGACGCTCCCCTGTCTCCAAAACAACAAAAAAAGAAAAAACGAAAACAAAGAATTGACCATCAGAGAGACACAGCAGGTTCGAGTTCATCCTGCGCCTGCGGCAGTCCACCTCCCCGGCACCTACCCTCACTTCCTGTTTGCAGACACTTCCTTGGGTTTTTCCTCCAGCAGGGAAGTGGCCCTGTCTGGTGAGGCTGCTGTGCTGTCTTCCACAGAAGTGACTAAGAGCTGAGAGGCTGGGGAACTGGGGAACCGGCGTTGCAGGGGCTACAAGGTGACCTTGGTTCTGAGTGAGGTCACTGGGCATTCCCATGCAAGAACCTCTCTTGGGGGCAGCTGGGCCTCCCCTTCTTCAGAGAGGAAATAGGCCCAGAGAGGGGAAGCAAGGAGCTCAAGATCACACAGCAGACAAACTGAACAGCTGGGTTGAGAATCCAGGTGTCCTGAATCCTACGCTGGGTTCCTGCTGCCCCTGGGTCTGAGTAGAGCCCGTTTCAGCCCCTCCCTCCTGCCTCTGCTCTCAGTCTGGACAGTCCTGGCCCAACTCTTTTTTTTTTTTGATAGGGAGTTTTGCTTTTGTTGCCTAGGCTGGAGTGCAATAGCGTGATCTCGGCTCACTGCAACCCCTGCCCCCGGGGTTCAAGCGATTCTCCTGCTTTAGCTTCCTGAGTAGCTGGGATTATAGGCATGCGCCAACATGTCTGGCTACTTTCTGTGTTTTTAGTAGAGATAGGGTTTCGCTACTTTGGCCAGGCTGGTCTCGAACTGCTGACCTCAGGTGATCCACCACTATGCCTGGTTAATTTTTTTATTTTTATTTTGGTAGAGACAAGTTCTTGCTACATTGCCCAGGCTGGTCTCAACAACAATCCGCCCGCCTCAGCCTCCCAAAGTGGTAGGATTACAGGCATAAGCCACTGTGCCCAGCCCTGGGCCAACTCTTTAAAGAGTTTTATGAAGTCAGAGGTTTCTTTCCTTTTTTTTTTTTTTTTTGAAATGGAGTTTCACTCTTCTTGCCCAGGTTGGAGTGCAATGGTGCGGTCTTGGCTCGCTGCAACCTACACCTCCCAGGTTCAAGCGATTCTCCTGCCTCAGTCTCCCAAGTAGCTGGGATTACAGGCACCCGCCACCACACCCAGCTAATTTTTGTAGTTTTAGTAGAGATGGGGTTTCGCCATGTTGGCCAGGCTGGTCTTGAATTCCTGACCTCAGGTGATCCACCCACCTCAGCCTCCCAAAGTGCTGGGATTACAGGCTTGAGTCACTGCACCCAGCCATCTTTTCTTTCATTATATATATATATAAAATGAAATGTATATACACACATGTGTATATACACATACACACACGTATACATATATATGTACATATTTTATGTGTATATATACACACACACACACACACATACACATATATATAGTTTTTTTTTTTTTTGAGATGGAGTCTCTCTCTGTCGCCCGGGCTGGAGTGCAGTGGTGCGATCTCGGCTCACTGCAAGCTCCGCCTCCCAGGTTCCCGCCATTCTCCTGCCTCAGCCTCCCGAGTAGCTGGGACTACAGGCGCCCGCCCCCTCGCCCGGCTAATTTTTTGTATTTTTAGTAGAGACGGGGTTTCACTGTGTTAGCCAGGATGGTCTCGATCTCCTGACCTCGTGATCCGCCCGCCTTGGCCTCCCAAAGTGCTGGGATTACAGGCTTGAGCCACTGCGCCCGGCCAGTTTTTTTTTTTTTTGAGACAGGGTTTTACTCTGTTGTGTTGCCCAGGCTGGAGTGCAGTGGCATGACCACAGCTCAATGTGTCCTCAACCTTCCTGGGCTCCAGTGATCCTTCTACCTCAGCCTACTGAGAAGCTGGGACTACTGGTGCATGCAACCGCACCCAGCTAATTTTTATATTTTTAGTAGAAGTGCAGTTTCACCATGTTACCCAGATTGGTCTTGAACTCCTGAACTCAAAGGATCTACCCTTCTTGGCCTCTCAAAGTGCTGGGATTACAGGCGTGAGCCACTATGCCCAGCCATAAATAAATCACTTTAGAAAATAAAGAAAAGAGCCGGGTGAAGTGGCTCATGCCTGTAATCCCAGCACTTTGGGAGGCCGAGGCGGGTGGATTGTTGTTGAGACCAGCCTGGGCAACATAGCAAGAACCTGTCTCTACCAAAATAGAAATAAAAAAATTAACTAGGCATAGTGGTGGCACACCTGTAGTCCTAGTTACTGAGGCTGAGGTGGGAGGTTTGCTTGAAGCCAGGAGTTTGAAGCTGTGATGAGCTATGATCACGCCAGTGCACTCCGGCCTGGGCAACAGAGCGTGACACCATCCCTAAACACAAAAAATAAACAGGAAAACTTAGAACGTGGCAAAAGCAGAAAAATTAAAATAATATGTTATACCCCTTCCCCCAATGTAACACTAGGGATTAAAATAATTGAACTAATAACATTGTGTATATTTTAATAGAAAACAAAATGAAAGTATTTCCAGACCTCCGAGGCTTTGGTGAGAGGCGGTCTAAGGTTGGGGTTGAAAACATGGACTCAAAATTTTCACTCTGCCGTTTCCTCTTTGGGTGACCATGGGTCAGTTATTTAACCACTCTGCCTCAGTTTCCCTTTTGCAGTTAGGATAGGAATAACAGCCATCTCACAGGGTTGACTTGAGGAGTAAATGAGGAAATGTATAAACCTGTGTTTAGCATGTATTTAGATTAGTTTTTTTGTTTTGAGACAGAGTCTCGCTCTGTCATCCAGGCTAGAGTACAGTGGCACAGCCTTGGCAGACTGCAGCCTCTGCCTCCCAGATTCAAGCGATTCTCATGCCTCAGTCTCCCAAGTAGCTGGGATTACAGGCATGCACCACCATGCCTGGCTTAATTTTTGTATTTTTAGTAGAGATGGGGTTTCACTATGTTGGCCGAGCTGGTCTGGGATTTCTGACCTTAAGGGGATCCACCCACCTTGGCCTCCGAAAGCGCTGGGATTACAGGTGTGAGCCACTGTGCCCAGCCAAGATTAGTATTCTTATTACTTCTTATGCCATTGATCAGCGTTTAGCTGGCTTCCTTCGAATTGCAATTCAGCCTTAGCCCACAGCCTTCCTTGTGACCAAACCTGAATCTCTCTCTACTGGGCTCTTCTCTGGGACTCTGTGGTGGGGGGTGGGCGGGGGGTGCGGGGAGCTGTTGGTGGTGCCCAGCTCACCATTTGTTGGCCCTCTCTGGGCAGCCTGGTAGGCAGGGCCAGCCCTGGTGGGCCCAGGTTACCGTGCTGAGCGTGGGCACGGGCGCTCCCTTTCCCTTCAGGGATTCTCATTGATGAAGGTACAGTTTATGGCAGATAGTCCCTTGTCTGTTATGCTGCCTGTATTGTCAACCTCGTGATGTATTTTCATACTTTCTCTAATAAATCTGCCTTTTGTAATAAAAAAAAAAAAAAAAAGGTACAATTTGTGCCTTTCATACAACTTGGCCCCTAAATACAAACCATTTTTATCCCATCTGCTGCTTAAGCAAAGGAAACAGTGATGTGTTCCAACTCTGGAGGCAAAGCTGACTGTTTGACTCCCCCAGATGGTCCTGGACTGTACTTTCTGGGCGAGTGGAGGCATTTCAAGAGTGACTTTGACTAGCCTTGACTTTTTTTTTTTTTTTTTTTTTGAGACGGAGTCTCGCTCTGTCGCCCAGGCTGGAGTGCAGTGGCGCGATCTCGGCTCACTGCAAGCTCCGTCTCCCGGGTTCATGCCATTCTCCTGCCTCAGCCTCCCAAGTAGCTGGGACTACAGGCACCCACTGCCACGCCCGGCTAATTTTTTGCATTTTTAGTAGAGACGGAGTTTCACCGTGTTAGTCAGGATGGTCTCGATCTCCTGACCTCGTGATCCGCCCACCTCGGCCTCCCAAAGTGCTGGGATTACAGGCGTGAGCCACCGCGCCCAGCCTGACTAGCCTTGACTTTTTACCAGACTGGGTAACTTTGGAGCCTGCCCCTGGCTGAGATGTTGCGGTGCTGTGCTGAGTGTTCCGCTGTGCCACCATGCTCAGTGGGTGCCAGTGATCCTGGGCACAGCAGATGGACCCCCGCCCTGGAGGAGCTGCAGCCTGCTCAGGGAGCCAGGGCATGATTGAAGGAAGCCCAGGGGCTGTGCGAAATCAGAAAGGGGTTGGGGAGTAATGTCAGGATGAAGTCCAGCTTCTTCGTGTGGCTTCTAAGAGCCTCTCCCCAGTCAGCTGGAGCCACTCCTGGCACCAACCATAGTGTTGTTGAATTTCTTTGGTTTTTTTTTTTTTGAGACAGTCTTGCTTGGTCGCCCAGGCTGGAGTGCAGTGGTGCGATCTCTACTCACTGTAACCTCCACCTCCCGGATTCAAGCGATTCTCCTGCCTTAGCCTTCTGAGTGGCTGTGATTTATAGGCGCGCACCACCACACCCAGCTAATTTTTGTATTTTTTGTAGAGACGGGGGTTTCACTATGTTGGCCAGGCTGGTCTTGAACTCCTGACCTCAAGTGATCTGCCCACTTCAGCCTCCCAAAGTGCTGGGATTACAGGTGTGAGCCACCGCGCCCGGCCTGAGGAACTGAGTCTTAGAGGAACCCAGGGTGGTTGGGTTTGTTCTGGTGAGGGGGTGTGCAGGCCAGGTTCTGGCCCCCCATGCCCACCTGGGGATAGGCAGGACAGCTCCTTGTCAACCCCAAGGAGGCAGCCCCTTTTCTGAGCTGTCAGGCCAGCATCATGTGGCTCCTTTCTTTTCCTTTCCTTCACCTCTTCTACCCTGGTGGCGGGGAAGCTGCTAGTGCAGCCACACGTGGGTGCTGTGTTCTGTGATCGTACTGTTGCACCATTGTTCGGATTGGCTATGTGCAGCAGGAGTCACTCTCCCCATTTGATGGAGGTTCAGTGAAATTCAGTGACTTGCCCTCAGCACTTAGCTGAAAACTGGAGGTGTCCCCGGGTCCGCGTGAAGTGGGAGCCAGCTCCTGTCCCACTGTATGAGGTGGTCTGCCTTAAGGTAATGGCTACAGGTCTCAAATCTTCGGCCAGGTTGGGACCTCCTGGGACTCCAGGATCTCCACCTGCTTCAGGGCCCCTTTCCCATCTCTTGGCAGCTGGTGTCTCACCACCCAGAAAGGGCCTGGCACCCTGTTCCCCGCCATCTGTAGCACCCACTTCAGCGGAACCAGAAGATGTGGCTCAGGTAGGCAGATCCCTGGAGAGGTGGGAGGGCCGGGGGTGGAGGGGGTGAGTTATGTGGACAGCTATCATTGCAGTGACTGGGTCATGTGAGGAAGTTAGCCCTGACAGTGTTCAGACGGTGCTTGTTCTCTGTCCCTGCCACACTGGCTTTGGGAACAGGTGTCCCTGACAGGGGCAGTGAGGCATGGCTCAGGAGGCCAGTCCCATTCTGTGGGCAGGGAGCCCTACCTCCTTCTCCAGGGCTCAGGTGGGGTCAGGAGATGCCAGCTCTGGCAAGGGGAGAGAGGGCGGTCCACAATGCTGAGTTCACCATCATGGGACTGTCAGGAGTTACACACGTAGTAAAGCAAAGATTCCCCTTCATTCCTGTGGAGACAGCTCTGAAATTCCCGGCTTGATTTCCTTTAATCCTCTCAACAACCCAGGGAGGTCAGCATTATGGGCCCTGATACTCAGATGAGGAAACTGAGGCTTAGTGAGGCTTAGTCATTTGTCCAAGGTTACTCAGCAAGGAAGTGGGGGCCAACTGCCAGTCACCTGTTTGAAGGGCTTAGAGGAAATGACACCAGCTGTTCACCTCTGGACAGCACCTTACAGTGTATAAAGGGCCTTCCCCTCCTGCTTCCATCCGCTCCTTGCTGGAGGGAGCTAGCCCCAGGGCGGGGTCCCCATGAAGGTACATGGGGCCGAGGCTGGCGGGGGTTATACAGTTTCATTCTGCAGGGGGGACCCAAGCCCACACTCAAGCAGCTTGCTCAGGTTCACTGAGCTTGGACATAGAGAAACTGGGATTTAAATCCATGGCAGTTCTAGGAGAGAACAGAAAAGGCAGCTGAAGTGGGCCTGGGAGGACAGGAACCTGTTGGGGGGCTCCCCAAAGGGGAGGAGGAGGGGGCAGGAGCCGCCAAGGGGAAGGAGCTGCACAGCCAGGAGCTGCCTTCCTTGGGGGAAAGAAGCCTCAGAAACCGGAAGTCAGGATTTTCGTGTTTCCACACTGGCTCAGTGACCTTGAATAAGGCTTTCCCCCTTTCTGGGCTTTGGCTTCCTCACCTGGGAGACAGTGGCAGCCTCCTGCCCTCTGCCCCTCCTGGGGCCCTGATGAAGTCCATTTCCACCACGAAACCTGGTGCACACTTGAGTGACGGTGGCCGTTGGAGGGAGGGAGAGGGACGTGACGTGAACAAGATGGCTGGTGACCATGTCCTGCTTCCAACCTCCCCACCTCGTTCTCTGCAGGGCGAGGAGCTCTCCTCAGGCAGCCTGTCAGAGCAGGCCACCGGCCAGACCCCCAGCAGCACGTGCGCGGCCTGCCAGCAGCATGTGCACTTGGTACAGCGCTACCTGGCTGACGGCAGGTTGTACCACCGCCACTGCTTCCGGTGAGTGGCCAGGGCCGCCCGTTACCCCCGAAACCAGGGAGGGTGCTGCCATGGGTTCAGCACACACAGTGCGCCAGGCACACCTTGCCAGGCCCTTCGCACCAGAGCCCCTGGTTTATCCCCATTTTACTGATGAGCAAATCAAGGCTTAGTGAGGGGAAAAGCACTCGCTCACCCACATGATTCGAGACGGAAACAGGGCTAGAGCACAGGGGTTCTCCTTCCAGCGTCCAGGCTCTCTGAGGATTCCTGGGTGATGATGAAGGAGCACTTTAAAAGCCATGTGTACTTTAAAAGCCATTGAAAATTAGCCGGGCGTGGTGGTGCACACCTCTAATCCCAGCTACTTGAGAGGCTGAGGCAGGAGAATCGCTTGAACCCGGGAGGCTGAGGTTACAGGGAGCTGAGATCACGCTACTGCACTCCAGCCTGGGTGACAGAGCGAGACTCTGTCTCAAAAAAAAAAAAAAAAAAAGGCCATTGAAGAAAGAAAATAAAATATTTGAGCTGGGCGCAGTGGCTCACGCCTGTAATCCCAGCACTTTGGGAGGCCGAGGTGGGTGGATCACGAGGTCAGGGGTTCGAGATCAGCCTGACCAACATGGTGAAACCCCATCTCTACTAAAAATACAAAAATTAGCTTGGCGTGGTGGCGGGCGCCTGTAATCCCAGCTACTCAGGAGGCTAAGGCAGGAGAATTGCTTGAACCCGGGAGGCGGAGATTGCAGTGAGCCGAGATCGCGCCACTGCACTCCAGCGCGGGCAAAAAGAGCGAAACTCCATCTAAAAAAAAAAAGAAAAAGAAAAGAAAATATTTTAGCTTAAAAAAATTTTTTTTGGCTGGTCATGGTGGCTCACACCTGTAATCCCAGCACTTTGGGAGGCCGAGGAAGGTGAATCACCTGAAGTCAGGAGTCTGAGACCAGCCTGATCAACATGGTGAAACCTCATCTCTACTAAAAATACAAAAATTAGCTGGGTGTGGTGGTAGGCACCTGTAATCCCAGCTACTCGGAAAGCTAAGGCAGGAATTGGTTGAACCCGGGAGGTGGAGGTTGCAGTGAGCTGAGATCACACCATTGCACTCCAGCCTGGGCGACAGGGCGAGACTCTGTCTCAAAAAAAAAATTTTTTTTTTCTTTTAAGATGGGTGTCACTATGTTGCCCAGGCTGGTCTCAACTTCCTGGGCTCAAGTGATCTTCCTGTCTCATCCTCCCAAGTAGCCGGGACTGTAGGCATGTGCTTCCATACCCTGCTTGAAGTTTTAAAAAATTACATTAACAACTTGCTTTAAGTGTATGGCTTCCAAGGGAAGCCAGATTTTAAGAGTGATATAAGCGGCAAGAAAAGTACAAAAACTTAAAAAATTAATGAAAACATTTTATATGTTTCAAAAATGAAACCAAAAGAGGAAACTGAATAGTCAAGGGAAGCTGGCAGTGGCATCATGCCCTTGATCTGGTTGAGTGTGCCCGAGTGGGGGACAACTGGTGCTGGAACCCTGGAACCTGATTGCAGAATTGGGGTGTCATGGGGAAAAATCCCAAGGAGGGAACAGACTCTACCAACACAGTCACATCTGGCCACCAGGGCAGTGTTTTAGAAACTTTTTACAGGCCGGAGCTGGGTGTGGTGGCTCATGCCTATAATCCTGGCACTTTGGGAGGCTGACGTGGGAGGATCGCTTGAGGCCCAGAGTTTAAGACCAGCCTGGGCAACATAATGAGACTTCATCTCTACAAAAAAATTAAAAAAAAAAAAAACAAAAGGCCGGGGCATGGCCCTCACGTCTGCTAAATGCTCAACCATTTGGGAGACCTCGAGGTGGGGGGTGGATCACGAAGGTGCAGGAGATCCATAGACCGATCGCGGCATCCTGGGCTAAATGGTGAAAACCCTCGCTGCCCGGGCCGGCCGCCCCCCCCCCCGCCGTCCCTCCTACTAAGATCACCAAAAAAAGCTCAGCCAGGCCAGTCGCGCGCCGCCGGTGCCTGCTAGTCCCCCAAGCACGCGCGCGTACTGCGGGGAGGCTGAGGCACGGCCGCGAGAATGCGCGCGTTGAACACTGGGAAAGGTCAGAAGCCGCTGCAGTGCGACGCCCTGAGATCGGACCGCAGCCCGGCCACTCTCCTCGCACTCCAGCCTGGGCTGACAGAGCCCCGCGGACTTCCGTCTCAAAAAAACAAAAAACAAATTAGCCCAAGTGTAGTGGCACACACCTTGTAGTCCTAGGCACTGGCGGAAGACAACGAAGGGACACGAGGCAGCGAGGAATCACTTGACGCCCAGCGAAGTCTCTGGATGGCTTCGCCGGTCTGCATCCTAATGACCTCGCACTCACTGCTACTCCCCCCCCACTGGGTGACCAGTCCGCGAGACGATGCTTCGCAAAAAATAAAAGCACTGTTTATAGCTAAACTCCAGCAACCGAAAAAGTAAGCACTGGTCGGACACTCGCCGGCCCGCTTTACTTAGCACTTGTAAATATTTTCTACGCCCCCGGAAAAAACACCGTGCTGTAAGGTAGCAGGGTCCGCCACGCTGGGAAGACGCTAAGCCATTTCACCACACCACCTATTCCTGGGCCTCTCTTCCTTCCGTCTATGATACGGCAGGCTCGCTTATACATGTATATATTCTATTTCATTAAGCACAAAATACGGCGCTCGGGCGCGGTGGCTTCAAGCTCTGTAAATACCCAGCGACTTTGGAGCCGAGACCGGGGATCACGAGGTCAAGGAGAGGATCGAGACCATCCTTGGATAACACGGGAGACCCCGTCTCTACTAAAAATACAGAAAAAAAAAGCCGGGGCGAGGTTGGCGGGACGCCTGATAAGTCCCCAACTACTCGGCGAGGTCCTGAGGCAGGAGAAAATGGGCGGGAACCCGGAGTGCGGGAGCTTGCCAGTGAGTCGAGATCACGGTCACTGCGCCCCAGGCCTGGGCGAACAGAGCACACTCCGTCTCAAAAAAAAAAAAAAAAAATAAAAAACATAGCCGGGAGCCGTGCTCACGCCGTAAATCCCAATCGGCAACTTTGGAGGCGTAGGAGGGTGGATCACTTGAGGTTAGGAGTTGAGACCAGCGCCTGGCAACATGGTGAAACTCCATCTCTACTAAAAATACCAAAAAATTAGCCGCATGGCGGCAATGCCTGTATCCCACTACTCTCAGAAAGGCCTGAGGCCAGGAGAATCGCTTGAATCCGGGAGGCGGAGGTTGCAGTGAGCTGAGGTCACACCATTGCACTCCAGCCTGGGCAACAAGAGCGAGACTCCATCTCAAAAAGAAAAAAAAAGAAAAAGAAAAGAAAACACAAAACACCACCTGATTGGGTAAAACCCACTGCTTTATTTTCCTGAGCCACTCCTGGATGCAGCCATTCACTGAATGCCACCTCTCGGGGGGACCTTTGCTTCTTCCTCTTGCAGCATAAACTGAAGGCATGTTTCACAACTTCTGTTGCTGATTTTGTGTGATTTTGTGATTTTATTGTTCCACTATGCTTCTGACAGTTACTGTTTTCTTTATCCTCTGAGAAGTCTAGAGTATGAAGCCTGGAGCTTGGCTGGCAGTTGGGAGGAGGGAAGGGAGGAAACAGCCCTGGGTGCGGCTGGAGGGGTAGCCAGTGGCTGGGCCTGGTTGCGTGGCTAAGTGAACCCCTGTCCTGTCCCCTGCTAGGTGTCGGCGGTGCTCCAGCACCCTGCTCCCTGGGGCTTATGAGAATGGGCCCGAGGAGGGCACCTTTGTGTGTGCAGAACACTGTGCCAGGCTGGGCCCGGGGACGCGGTCAGGGACCAGGCCTGGGCCTTTCTCACAGCCAAAGCAGCAGCACCAGCAGCAACTCCCAGAAGATGCCAGGGATGTTCCAGGAGGCAGCCCCAGCTCCAGTGCTTCTGCAGGGGCTGAGGCCGATGGACCCAAGGCCAGCCCTGAGGCCCGGCCCCAGATCCCTACCAAACCCCGGGTTCCTGGCAAACCACAGGAGCTGGCTAGCACCCCTGCAGGCCGCCCCACCCCCGCCCCCAGGAAGGCCTCCGAGAGCATCGCCCCAGCACCCCCCACGCCCCGGCCCCGCTCTAGTCTGCAGCAGGAGAACCTGGTGGAGCAGGCTGGCAGCAGCAGCCTCGTGAACGGTGAGCAGGGTGCAGTCGGGGCAGGGTGCACTGGGTGGCAGTGCACTACTGAAGTGTGTGTGTCTGGGAGTGTTTGTCGGCCCCTCTCTGTCTGTGCTGCTGTGTACTGTGCTGTGTTGGGGACTGTCTGTGTTTTTGAGGTTGTTATTATTTATTTATTTATTTATTTATTTATTTTGAGACAGGAGTTTTGCTCTTGTCCCCCAGGCTGGAGTGCAGTGGCGCAATCTCGGCTGACTGCAACTTCCGCCTCCTGGGTTCAAGTGATTCTCCTGCCTCAGCCTCCTGAGTAGCTAGGATTACAGGCATGCGCCACCATGCCTGGCTAATTTTGTGTTTTGTGTTTTTTGTTTTTTTAGTAGAGACGGAGTAGAGACAGGGTTTCTCTATGTTGGTCAGGCTGGTCTTGAACTCCCTACCTTAGGTGATCTGCCTGCCTTGGCCCCCCAAAGTGCTGGGATTACAGGCGTGAGTCACGGCATCTGACCTATTATTATTATTTTTGAGACAGAATCCCACTCTGTCACCAAGGCTGGAGTGCAATGGCACAATCTCGACTCACTGCAACCTCTGCCTCCCGGGTTCAATCAGTTCTCCTGCCTTAGCCTCCTGAGTAGCTGGGATTACAGGCTACCACGGCCCAGCTAGTTTTTGTATTTTTAGTAAAGATGAGGTTTCACCATGTTGGCCAGGCTGGTCTTGAACGCCCGACCTCAGGTGATCCACCCGCCTCAGCCTCTCAAAGTGCTGGGATTACAGGCATGAGCCACTGTGCCCGGCTCTTACTTTTTATTTTTTTTTTGAGATGGACTCTCACTCTGTCATCCAGGCTGGAGTGCAGTGGCACGATCTTGGCTCACTGCAACCTCTGCCTTCCAGGTTCAAGCGATTCTCCTGCCTCAGCCTCCCAAGTAGATGGGACTATAGGGGCACACCACCATGCCTGGCTAATTTTTGTATTTTTGGGTAGAAACGGGTTTTCATCATGTTGGCCAGGCTGGTCTCAAATTCCTGACTTCAGGTGATCCACCTGCCTTGGTCTCCCAAAGTGTTGGGATTACAGGTGTGAGCCACCGTGCCTGGCCTGTTTCTGAGGTTATTAATTCCTGCCACAAATGCTGAGTTCCTGTGGCCTCTGCTGTGCTGTATTCTCCATGCTGGGATGGTGCAAAGAAAACAGACCCAGGCCCCACCCCTATGCTGCCTTCCTCTGCATGCGCTCTTTTGCATCTGTTTTTGTGGGCTTTAGTTTCAGGGTGGGTAGCAAGTGCCACTCCAAGTGTGCCCGTGTGTCCCCGAGGTCTCTGGGACTCTGCACATTGGTGTCCTTCCTGTGTGTCCTGGCCCATCCACAGGCACACCGCAGGTGACCTCCAAGCCCGGCCTCTATGCTTGCCCATGTCTGGAAGGGGAGACCTCAGGGGCTTGGGGGAGAGCAGAGGGGTCAGGTGGGCCCCGGAGCCAGTGTGAGCTGCAGTAGAGACCCCTGGCTCATTCTGTGGGTGCATTCTCCCCCATCCCCACATTGTAAAATGCTCCCAGATGACCTCCCCGGGTTTCAGTGAGCTTGTAGGATTGAGACTCCTTGTATAAGGCTGCTGGGCAGCCCTTATCATTCCATTAGGGAAGGCATTGGTGGCCACGGGGTGAGAGACTCCCAGGGTCACCCTGCGACTTGCACCAGAACATTCTGTTTGTTCAGCTCTCGTGGAGGCTGGCTCTGAGCTGGCCGCTGGGGACACGGAATACTGTTCAGGCCTATCTGTGCCTTCAGGGCGCTCCCAACGTTGAGGTGGAGACAGGCACAGAGGCACGGGTTTCAGTGGATTGTGGAAGTCTTGTGAAGTTGGAGGAGGGGAGCAGGGGCTGTTGTGGGATTCGTGGAGGACACTCAGGAGTCCGGGACTTCCAGGAGGAGGTGGCTCCCGGGCTGAACTGAGATGATGTTTTCCGCCCACACTAGGGGGGTGTCTGAGGGGATTTGGGTTGTGTCTTCTCAAATGAAATGCAAATGGGATCTCAGGTGGCCTGGCCTTGACCCCTGACTGTTCTCAGCCACCTGGGTGCTTATCTAATTTCCATGGGCTGGGCTGGGGAGGTGCGAGGGTGTAGGAGGAAGGCGGGGTGCTCCTGGGGAGGCAGCTACTGTGGCTGGCTCCCTGGGTGCCCACCTCCTGCTGCCGATGAAGGCCTGGCTCACTATCATTTCCCATGTAGGAAGACTGCACGAACCACCTGTCCCCAAGCCGAGGGGGACACCGAAGCCATCTGAGGGGTATGTTGATCCCTGAGGGGCGTTCCTGCTTCAGAGGCCCTGGTAGTGGGAATTGGGGTACTCTGGGGCCGGGTGGGAGAGAGGCTTCCTGTGGATGAGCAGCGTGGGGCTCAGGAGGGGAAGGAGAGCTGGGCCCACACCCCCTCTCCTGATGCTCACCCTGGGATTCTTGCAGCCACTGCCCGGCCCCCTCCCCAGGCGCCTGGTCCTGTGGGCAGTACCCGGTGCAGGCAGCCACCTCTGGTTCCCGTCATCTCTCCAAGCTCCTTTTCCTGTAACGTGGGAGGCCTAGCCTTGATTATAGAGTTGATTTGAGGCTTAGCAGCAGAGTATAGAAAGACCTGGAAAAGCTCAGCTGTAGTACCTGTCCCTCAGGTCCTGCAGCACAGGACCCTGCTTCACGTGGCGGACATCTACTTCAGCTGTTATTTGGGGGCCACCCTTCTTCCCCTATGTGGTCGGTCTGTAGGGAGCCAGGTGGGCCATGGCTGTGCCAGTTGTTAATGTTTACTGAGCCCCTGGCACTCAGCAGGTGCCCTGGTGCCCTGCCCAGTGCTGGACTCCGTAGCTCACTGCATCCTTACACCAACCCTGTGAGGCAAGGATTATTAAGGTCCCCATTGAGTAGAAGGAGAGACTAATACAGAGGGTGAGCAGGTGACTTTCCCAGGTTACATGGGTTGTAGATGACAGAGTCCCTCGTCGATCCTTTCCTGGGCTGGGTTAACAGCAGCTCTGTGACTTGAAGGTTCACATTCTCTGGGCCTCAAGGGCTGTGACTGTAACAGTCCATTTCAGACTGGCCCCATGGTGCTGGGGGTGGGAGAAGGGAAACGGCCGTTTCTCATTCCCATTTGAAGTGGCCTCAAAACTGTCGAGAGAGAGAAGGAAGCTGACCCCTTGCCTCTGCTAATGGTTTCTGCTGCCTCCCCCCTCCCTCCAGGACACCAGCCCCCAGGAAGGACCCCCCATGGATCACGCTGGTGCAGGCGGAACCAAAGAAGAAGCCAGCCCCACTTCCCCCAAGCAGCAGCCCTGGGCCACCAAGCCAGGACAGCAGGCAGGTGGAGAATGGAGGCACCGAGGAGGTGGCCCAGCCGAGCCCAGCGGCCAGCCTGGAGCCCAAACCCTATAACCCTTTTGAGGAGGAGGAGGAGGATGAGCAGGAAGAGGCTCCGGCTGCACCCAGCCTGGCCACCAGCCCTGCCCTGGGCCACCTGGAGTCCACACCAAAGTCCCTGCACCCCTGGTACGGCATCACCCCTACCAGCAGCCCGAAGACAAAGAAGCGCCCTGCGCCCCGTGCTCCCAGCGCATCCCCACTGGGTAAGTGCCTTTCCTGGAGCTCTCCTGACAGTCGGAACTCGGGGATGGGGCCCGGGCCTGGGGTGAGGGTGTGGTGAGGCAGAGCCTCCCAGGCTGGGCACCGCGTGTTTCATGGGTGACCTCTCATTTAATCCTAGAGCAAACCTGTGAGTAGGTATCATCACCTCCACTTTGCAGGTGAGGAGACTGAGGCACAGAGAGGCTAAGTAGTTTGCGTAAAGCCTCTCAGTGCTTAAGCTGTAGAGGCAGGATTTGAACCCACGGAGTCTGGCCTGAGTCCATCTCTTCACCCTCCCTGTCATGTTCGTTAAATGTGCTGTCCATTGGTGTGCTCAGTGCAGCGAGGGGCTCACGGAAAGGAGGGGTTTGCTTGAATCCTAACTCCGTCACTGTCGCTGCAGTTCCTGAGCGACCTGGGCTCTCACCTGGCCGTGCGTGATCAGGTGTAATGACTCTGACTGTCCCTGAGTCTGTCTGTAGTCCTCCATGTGACATGGTGGCTCAGCTCCAGGCTGCTGGGCCTCCTCCACCCAGTGCTTATCCCCTCACCCAGGCACGCTGGAGTTTTTGGCCCTCACCTTCTCCCAGTCTTCTGATACCCTGAGCTGGGTTTTTGGTTCTCACCTTCACCACGGCTGGGTCTGGCCGCCTCTGGGAGTCCCATGGGACCCCCTCACACAGTGGGGCAAGAGCCTGCCAGAGCTGGCAGAGGCAGCTGCTCAGGGGGTCCGAGTGGAGCCCTGGGAGCCCAGCGGAGGCTGGCCTGTCTAGGTGGAGGCGATGGACAGCTTCAGGGGAGCCCTGGGAGCCCAGCGGAGGCTGGCCTGTCTCCTCTTGGCGTCTCCATGGGAGCTAGTGGAAGCCTAGAGTCGGAACAAACGCCTCAAAGCAACAGCCCTGGCCTTGCCCCCAGGAACCAGGGGCATGCCCAGGTCCCCCAGCCAAGCCAAGCCCTGCAGTGGCGCCACCCCAACAACACCTCTCTCCGTTGGATTGGGAGACAGGAGCCCCTGTGCCTTCCCCTGGAAGTCTCGGTCCCCACAGCTGCAGGTAAAGGTGAGTAACACCGCTCACTCTCAACTAAAAGGTGATAAATCCCTCCTCTAGTGGATGGGGCGGGGGTGGGCGTCTGATCGTTAGGGCAAAGAAATTCGTCCAGGGCCCTTTTCTTTTTTTTTTTTTTGAGATGGAGTCTTGCTCTGTGGCCCAGGCTGGAGGCAGTGGCGCGATCTTGGCTCACTGCAAGGCTCCACCTCCCAGGTCTCACGTTCCATTCTCCTGCCTCAGC